AGCATTGTATACTGTAAGGACATTGGCAAAACCCTCTCAGAACAGCTATACAAGCGGAATGGGCACACCTAATAGGACACTTCAGTCATTTAAGAGATTGTATAAGGGCTGCAGGTAACAGTTATACAACAAAAGTGTAAGCCTCTTGCAGCCGCTATAGGATATTTGCGTCAGTGCAAGATTCAGTTTTTGTCAACTATGCAACTATTCTGTTACGTGATTCTACTTTATTGCAACCAAACTAGTTCTTATGTATTCTATAGACGAAGTGTTAGAATATATAAGTAACACATTACAGTCATCTTGTTTACTTACATATCAGCCATTGTGAATTTCATACACAGGTATATGATAAACTTCTACACTGCGATATAGGGCTATTGAATTACCTGCGCAGCAAATTTTATTGTGATTATCGTTCAAAGTAGTTACGCAATTTCTACGGGCTTCGTATTTGATTCATATTTTGATAATGATCAAAAGTATGGCTAGATTTTTAAGATGGAAAACTGAACTTATCTGCGTTAAATCTTCCACAAATCCTATATTTAGACACAATTACACTAATGTTTATCACTTTATATCTGTAATTTCGAACTGAAACATAATTATTTAATATTAAATAGAGGAATATATGTTTACCCAATATGGCGGGTGGTTGTGTATAATCATGGCAGCGTCATGTTGTCTTTAGTTTATTAGAATAGTTTGGTGCTGCCTGCAGGTGTTATACAACAATTTGACAAATGTCTGAAGTGAAATACCGACAGAGTCGAATGATTTACCCAGAATTATAAACGTTACCATGGATGCCACAACACAACCATTTTGACTAACGTGCAAATATGCCGTATAAAATAGTTGTATGAACGTTTATGCAACAGTTAAAAATTGCCCTATAAGGTGTCGTATAACTATGCTATAAGAATATTTTGAACACCTTACTTTAGAGAAAATATGTTGCAGGAAGCAAATTTGCATTCCACACAACATTAAGCCAGCATTTTGGTGTTCAGGCAACAACAATAGAGAGCTTTTATGGCTGAACGGTTCTTTTACCAAGAGCTTATAACACTACTTTGCTAGTTGGGATTACTCGTAAGTCGATGCCGAATATAAACTGGTGCTTTGCAACATGGAAAATTTTATCCAAATTCAAATCTCGATATTTTCGGAACGGAAAGAGGTATCCAGTTGCGGTATTTGGGAGGTTTTTGACCAACTCTTTAAGAAGACAGGCGCGGGTCCAGGAGGGGCCATGGGGGGGTCATGACCCCCCCTCAGGCGAATTTAGTTCGACCACCAATTTTTAAAGTACAAAATCTCATACATATTAAATGGATGCCGTACTGCTATTTTCTACTAAACACTGGCAGCACTGCTTCCGTCAACTTTGATGATAACCCAAGATTGGTTGCCAATGCGGTCAGCTTGATGTAGGAAAAACTTCTTCGCGCGCGCTTGAGGTTTGAGCAAATTTAATAAAAAATACTTTTTGACGGACCAGTGGCGGATTTAAGGAAAAGGTCTCGGTAGGCAATATGCACTGGGGAGGGCCCAGTGGTATGATCGGGGACAGACGGCAAATAGTACGTACCTTTTTACGAAAAATTTTAACCTTAGTACTTATAAAAAGAATCCGATGTATTTATGTAGTGCCATGTATAATAAATTGCCTTTAGATATTAAGCAGATTACCAGCTTTTTTTGTTCAAAAGTAAACTTCGGAACCTCTTACTAAATAAGGCATTTTATAATACAAATGAATTTTTGTGCGAGTAACACGTTATTTTTATATGTGTTTCTGTATCCCAATTCTTTCATGTCATATATTAGTTATCCACATCTCTTTTATTTTGACGTTTTGTATCCTAATTACAGGCTTACACAAATAAAGCATTATTCTATTCTATTCTATAAAATACCCAATTGAAATGATATTTTAAATCGGCTGCGAAACAGCTACAAGGCAGCTACAGGACAAAGCTGGAGGAGTGTGAATGGTGGTTCTCCGCACAAAAGAACTTACCGATGGAGGTTAAAATCCCATTACAAAATGGACGGGTAGTACCCAAACCAACACAACTAAACGTAAGGTACAAAATAAAAGGGTAGTACTCCATAAACTGGTGTTTGGGGCTTTAATATCCCAAAATCTGGAAGTTAGCGAAGAAACGGCCACACACAGCCAAAACCACAACAGAAAGAAAAAGAAAATGGCGCTGGACGCGTCTGTACGCAATTAAAAGAAGGTATCTTGATAGTAAACCGCATTTCAAAGGAAGGTATCTTGATAGTAAATCAAATTTTAACAGAAGGTATCGTGTATGAATCACAAGGTGGCGCGCTGGTTTCGAACTATACGAGGGACCAACGATATTTTATGAGGAAATTTCTAAGATAATCGTTAAAAATACTATTGGTTTCCAAAAGATTTCAACACAATACTGAGTCGCTGAGAAAGAAAGATAAAATACGTTTGAAGTTATGCAATCAATAAACTATGAAATTTGTCAAAGGAAAGTCATTGAAAAGTGTTTCGCCTAGGAACGGGCACTCTTTAATCGATAAAGAGAAATTCAAATTACTGGTTAGTGATCAAAATATACTAAGTGACATATAAATCCGAACACAAAGTTTAAATGGTTTTATTTTAATAAAATTTGGTGAATGTATTTATCTTACTGTAAATAAAAAGTGAAAAAATTTTCAGCCTTATCAGTTGGACATTCCGGTTTTTATACTGCTTTTTTTTAATTTTTTAATTCACTAACGCTCTAAAAATGGATATTTCAGCCGCAGTAAAGAATCAATGTTGGCGGATTTTGGTTCTTGACATCCTTTACGATAGGTTACGATGCCTAGAGTATGGAGACCTGTACGATTTCGTCAACTTAGTGGGTTTGGGCTGGACGTTCTTTTCGGGCAGTTGCAGTTAGAGTGCAAAGAAGTGTAGACACTGTGGTTAGGTGTTGTCAGGCATGGCTTCGAGAAGGCCGTACGCAAAGAGCAAGGGGCACTGGACGCCGCCGTAGAACAACAGACCGTGAAGATTGCCGCCTAAGATTATTGGCCTTAATGGACCGTTTCTCCACTACCAGGTCCATTGCAAATGAATGGTTTGCAGAACACGGAAGACCTATTGGCATGCGAAGTGTTAACCGACGAATGAGAAGTTTTGGCTTGTTTTCATTCCGGCCACACTGTGTCCTCCCTTTAACTCGAGAACACCGACGTAATCGCCTTGAGTGGTGCAGACAACGGTCACTCTGGGATCAGGAATGGAACAGTATTGTCTTTAGTGACGAGTCTCGATTTTGTTTAGGCATGCACGATGGTCGTGCCAGGGTTAGAAGGCGACGTGGTGAAAGGAGGAATCCACAGTTTTTTCTTGAAAGACATGTTCATCACACTGTTGGAGTTATGGTTTGGGGTGCTATAGCTTATGGTTCCAGGTCACCTTTAATCTTCATCAGAGGTAACATGAATGCGCAGCGTTATATCCACGAAGATCTACAACCCCATCTTTTACCCTATCTTGTCACCCTGGCAGATCCAACTTTCCAACAAGATAATGCCCGACCACATGTTGCAAGAGTCACAATAGACTTCTTTCAACATAATGATGTCACATTGTTACCATGGCCACCAAGATCTCCCGACTTATCCCCAATTGACCATGTGTGGGATATGATGGGTAGGAGATTGCTCAATTTGCAACGTCCTCCTCAGACTCTAGAAGCACTTCGAGAGGAGTTGGTGGTTGCCTGGAATGAGATACCACAGGAGGACATTGACCACCTGATCAGAAGCATGCCTAGGCGCGTTGGAGAATGCCTAGCACATCAGGGAGCATCCACACATTATTAAAGGTCAAAGGGCTTTAAAGCAGTGCAATCATTTTGAAATTTTTATCATTTACTTATTATGCTTCATTAAGTACTTATACAAAATTTTATTAAAATAAAACCATTTAAACTGGGTGTTCGGATTTATATGTCACTTAGTATAGTAAAAAAAAAGTTACGTAATTTTGGCACGTGACAAGACTTTGATGACAGTGGCAATTTCTGCCAAAAAGTTATATCGAAGAAGACAAACTCCTCCTCAAAATCTTGTGCAAAGGGTACATCAATAATTTGAAAAAGACGAGGCATTTTTGACAAAATAAAATTATACTGTCAAGTCTACAGTCAATATTATTGTTACTTAGCAATTGCATGTTTGAGGCGTAGTTAGGATGAATCCGGAGAAAGGTCCTACCTGCAAGGAGAGGGTAATAAAAATACGATGTCAAGCCTAAAGACATTTACTACGGGAAGTTAAAAATTCGATAATTTGAGTTATACCCAACTTTCGAAAAATTTGGGATATTACTTTTTTTTAGGATAGTCCAAAGATCAAAAAGGTGCATAGAAACTTTCCAAGATCAAAAATTAAGAAGCTGACATATTCCCAAACTTTGCTAAAAAAGCTAACTTTCTTTGCTCACCCTGTATAAGCGGATAAATAAGATAAATATACCAGTCAAACATTGTACGTGTTCTCAAAGGGTTGGTCAAGAATCTCCCGATACTGCAACTCGATATATCTTTCCGTTGCGGAAACATCCAGATTCAAAATTGGGTAAAATTTTCCATGTGGCAAAACAACGGTCCACCTGTTTAGTTTAGTTTTTGACGACGATCGGCCCTTAAAAATAAGAGCCACAATGTCGTAATACTATTAACAGATATTTTCTTTACTTTTCAGGTAAGCACCACCTACTCTTAAGCTATAGTGGTAAGTTCTTTTATTTTACAGTTTTACCTTACTGTAAGCAGTCCAAACTCAAGGCAAACAGTTGCTTTCATCTAAAAACGCATTTGAACGACGCCACATTTTTTTGTACGTGAGCCACCAGGAAGGCTTAAGCCTAAACACACTCATGGGCACCGTGCGGCTATAGGGGGATACAGGAGAAAGGGGAAGCGCCACACGGACTCTAGCGAGGGACATGCATGCATTCTGGCCGCGCCTTAGAGATCCGCCGGGTGGTACCTCCACATTCGACCGTCTACCACCTACGGACAATCACAACATCCATAGCCAAGAGAAACATTCTCTTGGGACTGGATTTCAACCTGCGCACCGCACGGCGGCTGATTAGTAGACCAAATGTACTTCAAACTGATCCAATAGCAACCAAGAATCATCCGACAAGTACAGTCACGCGCGATAAATCTGTATTTGAAAATATGGCGAATGCGTCCGGTGTCACCCGTACGGGGAAAGACGAAGAGGCGAGCAGCGTCGCAGGCGCCGCGACGCCTAAACGGATGATTCATGGCAAGCCGCAACTCGACTCGTAAATCAGATTTCGAGAAGACAGATATATACCAACACATACACACGCACCAGCACACCATGGCGCGACAAACAAATTGGATGACGTATTATATACGGAGCAGCGTGACAGCGGAAGTCGTCAGGAAACAAAAGAGGCAAAGAAGAAGAATATTATATAACCGGGAAAATCTTACAGTTTGCAGATTGAGTTGGTCTACAGTGCATCTTTACGACTCTTTGATTAGTAGTGGTTGTTTGTGCATTATGTAACATGAGCTTGAATTCTAAATAACCTTGAGTCTACATACATGTCTCACATTGACTTCTAAACGACGTTGGCTTCACAAACCCACCTTGACTCATACTTGAATCGAGAACTTCCAGTACAGTTTTCCCTCAAACACTCCTTGCGTCCCTTTGCTCAGTAGGAGTTATTTGTACAATCTGTAACACAACATTGACTCCTAAACCACCTTGGCTCCACAAACATCAGCGACGTCAACTTGAATCGAGAATTTGACGCATAGTTTTGCCCTCAAACATTCCTTGCATCTCTTTGGTTAGTCGGAGTTATTTGTACAATATGTAACACGACTTTGACTCCTAAACGACCTTGCCTCCACAAACATCACTTTCACCCTAAACGATCTTGACTTGAATCGAGAATTTGAAACATTGTTTTATCCTCCAACATTCCATGCGTCCCTTTGGTTAGTAGGAGTTGGTTGTACAATCTGTAACACGACCTTGACTACTAAACGAACTTGGCTCCATAAAAATCACCTTCATCCTAAATGACCTTGACTTGAAACGAGAAATTGAATCATAGTTTTGTCATCAAACATTCCATGCGTCCCTTTGGTCAGTAGAAGTTATTTGTGCAATCTGTAACACGACCTTGACTCCTAAACGACCTGGACTCCACAAACATCACCTTAATCTTAAATGACCTTGACTTGAATCGAGAATTTGAGGCATAGTTTTGGCCTCAAATATTCCTTGGGTCCCTTTGGTTAGTAGAAGCTATTTTTACAATATGTAATACGACCTTGTCTCCTTATCGACTTTGACTCCACAAATATCACCTTCATCCTAAACGACCTTGACTTGAATCGAGAATTTGAAGCATAGTATTGTCTTCGAACATTCCTTGCGTCCCTTTGATTAGTATAAGTTATTTGTGCAATCTGTAATACGACCTTGCCCACTAAACGAACTTGGATCCATAAACATCACCTTCATCCTAAGTGACCTTGACTTGAATCGAGAATCTGAATCATAGTTTTGTCATCAAACATTCCATGCGTCCCTTTGGTTAGTAGAAGTTATTTGTGCAATCTGTAACACGACCTTGACTCAACAACCTTGGCGTAGTTTTGTCCTCAAACATTCCTTGGGTTCCTTTTGTTAGTAGAAGCTATTTTTACAATATGTAATACGACCTTGACTCCTTATCGACCTTGACTCCACAAACATCACCTTCGTCCTAAACGATCTTGACTTGAATCGATAATTTGATGCATAGTTCTGTCTTCAAACATTCCTTGCATCGCTTTGGTTAGTAGGAGTTATTTGTACAATCTGTAACTCGAATTTGACTCCTAAACGACCTTAACTGCACAAACATCACCTTCGTCCTAAACGACCTTGACTTGAATCGGGACTTTGAAACAATGCTTTGCCATCAAACATTCCTTGCGTTCTTTTGGTTAGTAGGAGTTATTTGTACATTCTGTAACATGACTTTGAATCCTAAACAACCTTGGCTCCACAAACATCACCTTCATCCTAAACGACCTTGACTTGAATCGAGAATTTGAAGCATAGTTTTGTCCTCAAACATTCCTTGCGTCGGTTTGGTTAGTAGGTGTTATTTGTACAATCTGTAACACGACTTTGACTCCTAAACGACCTTGGCACCACAAACATCACTTTCATCCTAAACGACCTTGACTTGAATCGAGAATTTGAAGCATAGTTTTCCCCTCCAACATTCCATGCGTCCCTTTGGTTAGTAGGAGTTATTTATACAATCCGTAACACGACGAAGGTGATCATCCTAGACGACCTTGACTTGAATCGGGAATTTGAAGCCAAGTTTTGCCCTCAAACATTCCATGCTTTCTTTTTGTTAGTAGGAGTTATTTGTACATTCTGTAACACGAGCTTGACTCCTAAACGATCTTACCTTCACAAACATCACCTTGACTCTTAACGACCTTGATTTGCATCGAGGCTAATGATAAATAAGTGAAGAATCATCAACCAGAGGAGAAAATACCTTAGAGCCATCATCTTTGCAGGCAACTGCAACAAGAGAGGCAAAGGAGAAAAATATTGGATGACCGGGAGATTTTTAGGGTTTCAAGCTGTGATTTGTCCACAAACCTTCTTTGCGCCTTTTTGGTTAGTAGAAGCTTCTTGTGCATTATGTAACACGTCTAAAAATCTCTTTAAATGACCTTGACCATATAGTCGCGTATGTGGTAGCTATTAAACTGCCTTAATCGGTAACTATCTCGGTGTGACTTTGAGCAAAGAAGAAAACAACACAAGCGATTTTCATTTATGAACTCATACATGGTAAAATAGTATCTTCAGACTTACTGTACCAGCTCCAATGTCTATCTCCTAGGACATGTTCTAGATTCAATGCATTATTTTTTTGCATCCGTGAAAACTCCAACTTGGCTCTCCGATAAGAGTCATGTGTATAAACTACAATAGTATATGCAATTATTGCAAAACTTTTTTGTGCTCTCTACCTGAACTAAAGGGGGCCCTACGGTAGGCAACACCTTAAATAACTGTATACAACATACGAGGTCTGTGAATTGAGTAATGATATGCATTTTTTTATCCAAGTTACAATGTTATATTATCACCTTCAAAAAAACTTCCTTCTGAAACCACACAGCGCTGGAGACGGCTCTTCCAGTCCTCGTAGCAGTACTGGAAGTCCGATGCTGGAATAGCTTTCAACTTCAGCAAAACGCACCGGTTCTCGAAATTGATGTCACTCGTTTTTAGAACACATTAGAAAAAGACTGTTTTGGATATCCAAATGACTCGAGCGAGTTCAAGCTTGTACTGAAGGTGGATCACATGTTCCCTGTCTCCCCCCAAGCTCGACGCCTCCAGTGTTGCCAGGTCGAACGCTACGTTGCCAGTCTCATCACTTGATTTACAGACCTCGTACACTTTTTCCTTGTTTTGCCAATTATCGTTTTCTTTTCGTCCTGTAAATGGAATTGGTAATATTCTGTTGGGCAGTTAATGCTATTATTATAATCTCAGGCAAATTTTGCATACTGCACTGCATCGCCACAAACGTCATATGTTCAAGTACCGGTCCCTTCGATTTAGCAACACCCCTGCACATAATGAAATATAATCTGTCGATAAATTAGGGGTGGGGTATTTAATTTCGTGTTGATCGGTTTCCATGTTGACGTCCGATGGTCTGTCGGTCTGTACAGCGCTGTCTCGGCTGAGTGATTACCATGCACGTCGCGTTGCCGCTCGTCGCTGACGCTCAGCGCGTAGGCTTTCTGCGAAATGAATGCGACGCATTTTGCTGCTGGGAGGGCCTTTATTAACTGTCACTTTTTATATGAAATATGGCGGGGGTGGAGTAGCCGCTGCTCAACTTTGACCCGGACAAGAGCGGAGTGTTTTAGGCCACCGCACTTTTACGGACCATTGATGATTCAACGCAATGAAAAAAATATCAAACAAACAATTTATGTATAGCCGAACAGAAGAGGGTACAATTACAGAACAATTTAAATAATGAAGAAAAAATATAACAAATATACTTATACAGGGTGGCCAAATACGTGACGTCATAAAAAAAAAATTAGATTCCCCACATCGAGAGGAACCCAAATCACCCCCATATATATGGTCCGATTTTGTTTAGTTTAGGAGTTATGATTTTTTTTCGGATTTTTCGAGAATTTTTGAGTTCTGTGTTTATTTTTACCATAACTTCGTTAATAATTGTGATAAATGCCTGCTTTTTTCACGATTATGTAGCTAAGACCTAAGGCTTAACTATCATATAATCATTCAAGTCATGTAACTAATAATACTTTTTAATTTTTTTCAAAATCTTCGAACATAACAAAAAAGTAAAAAAGTGCAACAACTTTGAACGTTTATAAAAAATTGAAAAAACATGTTCTTACTATTCGTAAGTATCTTAAAAACTTCCTTACGGTATCAGCTATTTACCGTAAAAATTTCATCAACCTAGCTTTACTACATGCTACCGTAATTGTGGCTCAAATAGAACCGAACCCAAAATTGGATAACCCTCTGCTCAATAGAAATTGTTAGTTTCGGAAAAAAAATTTGCAAAAACCACAAAAACACGTTTGATTTTTACTGAACAGCAGATTATTATTCATTTATGTTATTTACAAGAGGTTTTCAAAATGTCTGCCTCTAACAGAAATGCACAGTGTACGTGTATGAAATTTTGTTTTAAATCTCTAAATGCTTGTGTGTTGTTTTTCAACACATGTGTCGCTTCTTGAATTTTGTTCCTCAATGAATTTTCATTTGCACATTCTTGGGCGAATGTTATGTGTTTAAAATATCCCCAAACAAAAAAATCAATGGGGTTGAGGTCAGGGGAGCGTGGAGGCCATCGTATCGGTCCGTTTCGTCCGATCCATCTGTCTGGGAACCTTTTGTTTAAGTAATTTCGCACGATCGTTGCGTTGTGGCATGGTGCACCATCATTCTGGAACACCATGTTCCGTCTGGCTTCCAGGCTTGAATCTTCCAGCAATAATGGTAGGCTATTTTCAAGGAAGCTTTTGTAGGCTACCGAATCCAACCTTGACGGCAGTTCAAATGGACCGATAAATTCCATATTGAATATTCCTGACCACATGTTCACACTAAAACGGTATTGAAATGTCGACGGCCTTGACTGGTGGGGGTTTTCAACAGCCCAGGTATGTAAATTATGGATATTGAATATCCCTGTTCTTTCAAAACGTGACTCGT